AGTAATTTCCCTCTTAATTTTTGAGAAGCAAGGTAGATGAACACTATTTTCTATATATATAAAGGATAGTGCATATTAGTCCTGGCTCTCAAAAAAAGGAAAAAAATCAAAATCCTAACCTTCCACTACATGGTTTCATTTAATTAAAATCCAATTTAAAATTCAAAATTTTACCTTATTAAATATTAATTTTTATATTTAAAGACCGATTATATTAGAGTATGTAATTAGTTTTCAAATTCAACTATCAATATTTAAGAAAATAGACTTCTGAATTTTAAATTAAATTTTAATTAAATGAAATGATATTGTTTAAGATTAGAACTCCAATTTTTTTAAGAGTTACGATTGATTTGCACTTTTCTCTTATATATATATATAATAGTATTTATTCACCTTACCTCTTAAAAATTAAGAGAAAAATTATATTTAAACTATATTATTTTAATAAACTCCTATTAAAAATAAACTTAGATATTCTATTTTTAAAGTATGAATTAAAGTGTTTTTTGTCATTTTTTATGGTGTTTTATTCAAACAACATAGTTTTAGAATATTTTTTTTCCTAATTTTTAAAAGGTGAGTCGAATAAATATTAATGTTATATATCTATATATACATAAAGAAAGATATTTTATAGATTATCCTTGTAAATTTTTTTTAGATGACCTATCTAAAGATACTTATTCCAAAACTTATTCCAAAACTATGTTGTTTGAATATAATCTACCATTGTAAAAAAACTAAAATACCTTATTTTTAAACATGAATTAAACTAATTTTGGTCTTTTCTCATTGTGCTTAATTAAAACGACATAATTTTGAAATAATTTTCCTTCTAATTTTTGGGAGATAAGATAAATAAATACTAATATATATATCTATATATATGAGGAATCCATTTACATATAAGTTTTACATACTATATTTACACAAAATTTCAATTATTCATCTCTTAACTTTCAATAGTTAAAATTTATTATGATTTTTTAGATAAAAACAATTATATTTAATAAATGTGAATAAATTTCAATCATTGAAAGTAAATAGATGAATGATTGAGATTTTACATAAATGAGAGATGCAAAACTTGTATATGTAAATCTCTACTCATATATATGTGGAAAAGTATTTTACAAGTTGTCTTCCTAAATTTTTTTTAAAGAATCTATCTAAAAACTCATTTTTTAATTAATATTTTTAAAAACCAAGCATTAGATTGAAAGTTTTATTCATATAAATTATCCATGCAAATTTTCAAATTATTTTAATAGGCTTAATCACTTTGTTGATTATAAGAAACTTCACACTATTAAATATATGTAAGTGAATAGAGTTTATTATTATTATTATTATTATTATTAAAGGATTATAAATATTAGATCAATATGAAAATTGACATTTTGTGATTTGCATAAGTATAACTTTCAATCCAACAGTCAGCTTTTAAAAATATTAATTAAAATGTGAGTTTTATATAGGTTCTTCAAAAACAAATTTTGAGAAGATGACCTATCCTACACTATCTTAATACATATTATATTCATTTACACACAAGTTTTACATATTACATTTACATAAAATCTTAACCATTTATCTCTTTATTTTTAATGGTTGAAATTTATTTACATTTATTAAAAATAGCTATATTTTTCACCTGAAAAGTCTTGACTAATCTTATCCATTAAAAGTAGAAAAAAGAAAAATTAAAGTTTTGTATAAATATAATATATAAAATTATGTGTGAATAAATTCCTCTTAATCGATGCTTATTCTATATGGGTTTTAGCTTGAAGAAAACCTAGCGAAAAGCATGTTTCCTTGCCGCAAGCTCAATGCATCTTCTATTGGTACATTTTAACCAATTAATTTCATAACCATATCTCTTAAATTCTTGATTCTGTTTAATTTTTCTATTTAATCCAAATAATTGAATCCTATTTTTTATATACAGATCCATCTATGTTATCAAGAGTTTCAACATAAGTGATTCTGGTAAACTTAATTGAGGAAGGAATTGAGTTTTAGGACACAGGCGAACTACCATGTTTTCACAGCTTGGATAAGCAATCTTGTCAAATGCTAGTCTTTCTCATCAGAGAATTGAAGAGGCCAAGAGGGTTGCATGTTAATTTTGAAACCAAAACGCTATTCCGTTCCAGTTGTCGCCTAAAATATTTTGAGGAACAGCTTGTTTTAAGGACTGGCTGTTCCGCACTTTGCCGTATATAACTTTATAATATTTATACACATATTTTATTCAATGTATTTATATAAAATTTTAACTATTTATCATTTTACTTTTGATAATTGACGTTGATTTACATTTATTAAAAGTAATTATTATTTATATTTAAAAAATTATGATAAATTTCAACTATTAAAAAAAAAACAGTCAAAATTTTATATAAATGTAATGAGTAAAACTTGTACGTAAATAAAAAACACATTAATTCCAACTTTAAAAACATTACCTTCCAACGAATATTTTCAAAAACTAACACCAACAGCTAAATTTAATGTTTCATTAATATAAATCATCCATGTCAAATTTCAAGTTGATTTAATATTTATAATTATTCAATCAAAAAACTTATATTTTTTATATATATTTAACAAGGATAAATTGTCCATAATCAATGAACTAATCATTTATATTCAAATTAATATGAAATTATGGATGATCTACATGAATAGAGCAGCAAATCTAAAGCGTAGTTTTAAAAATATTCATTAAAAAATGATATTTTTGAAGCAAAAACTAATTTTTTTAAAAGTCAAGATGATATCAACCATTCTATATACATATAGAGAGAGAACTCCACATGCATGTTTGGTTGTTTGTGGCGTTATGTAGGATTTATCTAGGATATACATATCTTTAGCACAGTCGTGTCCCCTCCAATCGCAATACTTCTGTCTCCCACCCTATCTTGCCCTTGGATCTTTACATAAGAACACATGAAAGATATGTCCAAACTAGTTTCCCGGAAGATTAAGCAGGTGTTGATATGCAAGCTCTAAAGGTAACAGCAAGTACATCTTCGTTCAGATTATGACCTGACAAAACCATTGGGAAACATAAATAAATGTGGAAGCTCCAAACAGTTTTCTGGAAGAACTTCACCAAGAACAAGCGTTTTAGAGCAGTACCTATGAACACTATTTTGTTCATTTGCTTCTCCTCTATTCTCCATTTGCGAGCTGGAACAATCTCATATAGCTCCCTCACGGCCTATAAAGTGTATGTTTAATGACCAAATGAAATGTCAAAGAATTAATGGTTATATAAGTATGCTAACAACGATAACGGAAATGCTGCATGTAAGTAAGCTTAGAACTTTACCTGCAAGGTATGTAGTTGATCAGAATTTTGAATGCTTAAAACCCCTTTGCAGCGGTAAACATCCAGGCCATGCTTCTTATCCCAAAGAATCTCCTCAAGCCACGAACGGACCTATATAAAAAGATAATATAAAAAATATGAAACAAAATTTGATCTTCATTCATTTGCACACAGACAATTTAGTAAAAAAATAAAGTAAATAAGAAAATGTATTCTTGAAGTAAAAATATAGAGTTAAAAATTCCGGATGACATTTTTTTTTTCCCACAATGAGAATTCGAAAAATAACAGGGGCAATTTTTTTTATGTACTCTTCCAAATTGAGGTACAAACCTCCAGATAGGATAATGGTTCTATGTCAAATGGATGTACAATACACACATCATATCCGGTAGAAAAGAAAAGGAATCGCCTATAAACTTCCATGTTTAAATTCAAGCATAAGCATGTCAAGTTTTTTCTGTTGAACCTGGGCAATTTTGGCCATAATTGTGCTGCTGGCTTGAAGATAAAAAAAATTCTAGGACATGGATCATTAGGCCAAACTGGCAGGCCAAAAAGCATGTGGACTTGAAGCTACCATAATATAACCGTGCATAGTACAAGTATCCATAAGAGAACGTTATAAGACTTAAGAGATCAAAGAAAACTAAGATGAGAGTTATAGATACTGGGATTTCATCATCCCCCAAAAATCAAAAAGATACTAGCAACACTATCTACTTATTGAAAATTGAAGTTTACCTAAAATCAAGAACTTCATTGTTTTCTTCGGTTGGGGTGTTCTCTAACATATTTTTTTGGTATAAAGAGACTAGAGATCAAACCTTAACTAGTGGCTAAGAACACAAGTTATCACTAGACCACATGGCTGATGGTAATGTTCTCTAACTTATAAGGAACATGGAGGTGTCAGAAACTAGCTTGTCCAATCACTCTACTGCAGGGCCTAGGCCAATATTTATGATGGCTAAGCTTGTGCAAAATGCTGTGTAGCATCAGTGAATGAGACAAATAACTAATATTATTTGTAATTTAGGTGGGTGAATACAAAAGTATATAAATCTATCCTGCCTGGTTGGAAATGTTCTTAATTCCTTTTATGGAGTAACATTGGTGCTGTCAAAGACAGGCCACCCATGGTAAGACTAGGGAATTTGTCATTTGTGAAGAATTACCTCGTCTTGGACTAGCCGAAGATTGAAGTTTGATTGACATAGGTAGGTAGTAAACCCCTACACCAATTGGTGGCTCTTTAGGTTCAGTTGCATTTCTAGTATTGGCTGGCTCGCATTGAAGAGTTCATAAAAGCACTAAACAGCTTACTACCTAGAAAGAAAAGAGTCAGTTGTTGATGGACGGCAACTGGAGTTCAACAATCTAAAGCTAGAGTGGGATAAGCCATTGCGCTCCTCCACCATAGCACTTCCTCCATTCCATTTTTTATTTTTTCTTTAAGAAAAATACCTAAACTTCCACAAATCTTATTATTCAAAACATAGCCAATAAACTTGTATGGAAATTTCTAAAAAAATTTTTTAAAAGAGAAAAAGAATGTCTTTATCCTAGCTATCTGATTAAGATCATGTATTAACTCTGTTTTTGCTACAAAATGTTGGTTTTTATCCTGTCTGCTAAATTCCATATATTCATCCATCCATAATGGAACAGAAAACAAGGTACAATTGAAGTGAAGAGAAAAAATTACTTTCAGGTGAAAGACAGTGGGCAAGCTAATTTTGATGCATATAAATATTGAAAAATGTTAAATGCTTCACAAAACCTACTAATGTTGTACAAACTAGGATCAGGTTCACATCACTTCATATGGTATGAAAAATATTATTATAAGCTATGTTGCATAATTAGTTAATTACCTTATCAAGATCAAGAGGATGGGGTTCATTAATGCATAATGTCCTCACACCACTATCATGAAGATCCTTGGAAGAAAGAGATCTATTTTCCTCCAATAGTGCTTCTAAATGAGTGAAATGCTGAAAGTTGAGAAGAAAAACATGATCAATATTTGTTGCAATAAATGTCACAAGTTAAAAGGATGCATCCATGATGATATGAATCAACTTTTGTGGTACTAACTGTAGCATCATATGCCTGCTGATTCAATATCTTAGCCAAGTCTACTTGACAATGAACTGAACGAATGATATTGGCAAGTGAGTTAATGCCACGTATCTCCTTCTCCAGTTCCTCTAGGGCACCTTCAGAACCCTCTGAAGAAACCAAATCAACCTTGTTAAGAATTATAACATCCTACAAAAAGAGAAACAAAAAGGTTTAAAGCTTCAACATATCTTGTCCAGAGAAAAAGGTAGTTAATCTATCAAATATCCAAGAAAAAAAAGCACAGACAGTTTGTGAACCCCCAAGCCCGTCAATCCTACACCCATAAAGAAAAGACAAAAAAAGAAAAAAGAAAAAAGAAAGAAGAAGGTAGTTTGGCAGTTTTAAAAGCAGATTATAAAAATAATAATAATAATAATAATAATAAAGAATAAAACCATGCTCAAATGCTGTTTGGAACATATTATGTAAAAAAAGCAAGAGAATTACAGCAAATGCTATCTGCAGGAATGCCTCAGGAAATTGAGATGAATCACGATGCTTGTTGAGCTGAAAACCCAGATTCTTGGCATCCACAACCTATTCAAGGAACAGTAGAGAAATGCATTGTGGAATTGGGCAAGTCAAAAACATATATTTCTCAAGATAAAAGGATGCAACACATGCTCATGAAGTTATTTGAATAATTAAAAAATAGGACTATTGTCATTTTTTTTTTCATAATAATTGAGTATTATTGGGAAAAAAAATTAATGGACTATTGTATATCTACTAAGGACTTAACAAATGCAACATAGACATGCTGTTAAATCAGTCATGGTGCTTCATGGTGTCCATCAAATCATGTAGATGAACAATATCTACTCTTTGTTCTGCCATGCTGATTTATAATTCCACTTACATTAGTCAGTTTCTTATAATAAATGGAAGAAAAGCAAGCAACCAGAGGCACCCATAGTAAGTGATAAATAGAATTTTGGTACCAACTATATGAACAAGGAAAGCTTACAAGTTTAAGCCAAGTTATTCTCCAACTGAGATTTAAGTTCACCAACTTAGCTCCATACATAATTACATATACCCATTGAAAATATTATTGCCTCCTTACCGTTATTATAGAATCAAGCTTGACTGCAGATTCCAGTTGATCATCCAACCAAAGAACAGATGCAAGAGGAGCAGGATTTGCTAATCCAGTGGTCTCCAGTAAAATATGATCAAGTCTAAGAGACAAGAAAAAAGAATCAACATATCATCAAGGTTTTCTTTCATATGTGGTAAGATATAACTATTCAATTTCTGCATAGTTTGACCCTCTTACCTTTTCTTCATTTGCACAAGCTGCTCCAAGGCTTGAACCAAACTGTGCTTGACAGTGCAACATACGCACCCATTTGCCAGCTCAACCCATTCTTCAACCAGCGCGCCACCGTCTCCGTCATTTATCATTGCCCTTTCCACCCCAATCTCTTCCCCGAATTCATTCAAAATCACAGCAATCCTCTTCCCATGTTGGGCATTCAAGATGTAATTGACAAGCTGCAAAATTGCGAGTTATTATCAGCTACAAAACGAGGGAAATGTTCCTATAAAAAGAATCTCAAGTGCACGAACGGGAAAATTGAGAGAAATATCAACTTGATTACAGTGGATTTGCCGGCCCCAAGGTAGCCCGTAATGACGGTTACGCCGACCGTAACACCACCGTTAGACGGCGTTTCTGAATCGATTTGTGAATGTTCTTGCGCATTGTGGTTAATCTCAACAGCTAGAGGCGCCTCTTCTTCGTCTTCCATTTTCCTAATCCGATATTCTTCCCTCCAGAGTTTGCAGCGATAAAAAATTTTGCGAGTCTAAGCCGATTCTCGTGACTACAGCGAAAAAGTGCAAATAAGCACGCAAACTTTAGGTTAAAGGGCTAAACCCAATTTTGCCCCTTCTACTTTATGTTCACTCAATTTTGCCCCTTACAAACAAGATTTTGCACCTTCAGCCTTTGTTTCATCATGAAATTATACAAAAGTTGAGTCTAAAAGGTCATTAAAAACTTTACAGGTAGGTTCCTTAAGTTTGTTTCAACTTGTTATTAGCCATGGAAACTACCTTTAAAAGTCTTCTCAGCCCTAAGTTAAACTCATCCTCTACTCTCAATAGGTAAAATTATTAAACTATAATTTATATAAAGGCTTGTCTTTGTTTTTTCTTTTTCTTTTTTTTTTTTCTTTTTTTATAAAAGTGTCTTCTAACCCTTGTTATACCTAACTTTGCATACTAGGGAGTAATTAAGACCCTTGGGGAGTTTCCCTTTGGGTTCCAACTTGCCTTGCAAAAGGCAAGTTTGAAAGTCTTGGACTTACAAGGTTCTTAAGTTGGTTTCAAACTTGTCATTATGTATAGAACCTACCTCTTAAGTCTTTTTGGCCCTAAGGCATATTTAACTTCTACAGTCAATAAGTAAATTCATTGAGTTAGAATTTGTTAAGATGCTCCAAAATAAAGGTCTTTTTTTTTTTATATAGAAATGTTTTTTAACCCATGCTAGTCCCAACTTAATAAACCAAGTAACAGTCAAGACTCTTGGACAATTTTCCTTTGAATCACCAAATCAATTTAATGATTTAATTGACTTATTGAAAGTTAGAGGGACAAAATCCTTACTAAAATTTATGGGAGGATAAAATACAAATGAAAGTAAAGTATACAAGAAAAATAGGTCTTTATATCAAGGTGGTACCACATCAATGGTATCTCCCTCCAATGAAAACATGACAAATCAACAATTCACAATGTAGGTCATTGAAATGAAACAGCAGATTCATTTAATGGAAATCCAAGACCTCTTTCAACCAAGGTTTTGAAAACTAGACCGGATTGGTCGATCGAACCAGTTGAACCAATAACTGGTTGTATAAACAATTCGGTTCTATTCTTTAAACCGCTTAAAGATCAAATCGTTTGAAAACCGATAAGAACCATTGGAATCACTCAAACCAAAAAACCATTCAACTGGACGGTTCAATTCTTGAGAACAAAAACTTGAGAAATTTGTCCCCCATGAAGCTTGAACTTGCAATTTTTAAATCCTTTTAGTTTATTCCAACCCTTTGCTACCAGGACAATGCACTTCGTTTGTCAATGGATGCTTGAAATTTTATTTAGTCTATTTTTAAAACCATAATTATTTAAAATTTGTTCATAAAAGTACTTGAACTTACGATCTTTGGTATGAGAAAGCAATCACTTACCATCGCACTCAATGGATATCTTGTGAAATACTCTACAAATTAATATATTTATACTATATTAATGAACCGATAATTTTATTGATTAAATTAATTAAACTAATCAAATCGTGAACCAGAGGTCAAAATGGTTTGACCTCCGGTTCGAGTTTAAAAACATTGCTTTCAACATTACTGACACTTGACGGTGAAATTTGCACGTGGAAATAAATTATTCTTATATTGTTTCTCTTGCTACTTTTCTCGCCCTTTCCAATAATTTGCTTTTGTGCCGCCTTTTCCAATTATTTAATTTTTTGTCCAAGGTTATTTGTACTCGTTACTCTTTTATAAAAATTTATTAACTTAAAATTGTTTTTTATTTAATGGTATTAATTAATTTTAAATTGTATTATGTGGTGTCTTTTACGGTTAAAGATTTATTTAATTATCAGTATTTTCCTTGATTAGTAGCTCTTAGAATAAAATTTTTAGAACTACTATTGTTGAATTGGTTTAGCTCCAAGGTTTAGATGCTAGAAGCACAAGCTTCTGTAAATACATTTGAAAGATACAATTTAAGTTCAATGGCAAGTACATTTGACAAGGTGATAGCCTAAATAATTTGTAAATTTCATTGGTGATTTTGATATTTTGGTATAAGTTTTATGGTTTTGATTCTACAAGAAAGGGAGGGAAAGAAATGTAAATATCACTTCTTTTTTTGAAATGAAAATGATCTGATTTATTCTTTTTAAAGAGTATTAATTGTTTATGATAGGTGATTAAGATAAAAATGATAAAAAAAAATTTATTAATAATAGTGTACTTGCAGGACTCTTTGATGCAAAGGAAAACCAAAGGAACAAACGTCAAGCACAATACTACAAGAAGTCTCCAAGAACTGTTAATACCAATGTTTTTAAACTTGAATTTTGATCTTTGGTTCACGGTTTGACCGGTTTAATTGATAAAAACGTCAGGTTGGTCAAACTATCATAAATATATTATTCTATAAGATATTGCACAAGATGTTAGTTGGGTGCAGTGATAGGTGAAAGATTGCGAGCTTGGGTGAGAAAAAACTTTAATATAATTGTGGTTTTAAAGATAGAATAAATTTATTGTGAAGCAAAAATATAACAAATAATAGGTTGTGTCTCAAATGGTTGAGTATTTGTTTTATATTATGGAGAATGGGTGTTCGAATCCCGTGATTGTCATCAATAATTTAGTTAAAAGTTTTGAAAATTCTATTAGATAAATAAAATTTCAAGCATTCAATGACATAAGGAAATCATCATTCTAGTGGTAAAGAGTCGAAACCATTGAACTGTTTGGTCAAAAGATTTATCGTTTTGGAGTTATGAGTTCAAATCCCAGAAGAGATAAAATTTTGAAGATTTTATACTCAACTATTGAACCCTTTGGTAAAAAGATTTACCGATTTGAGTGGTTTCAATGGTTCTGAGCGGTTTCAATGGTTTTTATCGATTTCAAATGGTTTACAATTCAAACAATTTAAAAAATACAACCAAACCATTTGCACCGTCGAATATCGATTCAATCAATTCGACGGGTCGATCCAATTTGATTTTTAAAACATTGATTAAGGCAAAATACCCAAATCCACCCCCAAAGTATGGTGGCAGGGATGGATCCACCCTTGAACAAAAAATGGGAACAAATCCACCCACAAAGTTTTCGACTTGGACAAATCACCCCAAATTTAACGTGTGACGTCATTTGACATCAGCAATTCGTTAATTCGTTAACGGATTGTTGACGTCAGATGACGTCAAATTAACAGATTGTTGATGTCAAATGACGTCACACGTTAAATTTGGGGTGATTTGTCCAAGTCGAAAACTTTGTGGGTGAATTTGTCCCCGTTTTTTGTTCGAGGGTGGATCCGTCCCTACCACTATACTTTGGGGGTGGATTTGGATATTTTGCCCAATGATTAATACATTAGGTCAATCACAACTACTTAATACTGTTTCGATATCCTAGAATTGTTATAGAAATGGTTGTCTCTAAGTTTGTCATGAGACTAAATTTCCATTGATGAATCTCATTACAAACTCTTACTGTTGTCCCACCCTTAGAGGCGTGGCTGCAGTTTAAGAGACGAGTACTGGCGGGCACCACCCCTCAATATCATTTATTGAGCACACTTTAAAAATATAATATATTTTCATGCTTTTCGTGGTAATGAAAGGGGGCATTGTTGCAAAAGGGTGCACCTAGGCACCAACTAGGCCGCCCTTAAGCTATGGGTCGGAGCCCTTCTTCTCGCCTTGGCCTCTAGGGGACGAAGCTAGGCGCTCCTCCTCAGATCCGTAAGAACAGCTCAAATCCAGAGGAACCCATTACCCAATCGGAAAATTAACACTAAAAAACATCTCCTATGACGCCGACGAGCTTGCCGCAAGAATCGTGACCAGAAAGAAGCTCTGACGCTCCCACAAATGCCAGATCAAGAACCTAACCCGGGACCCTTCCGTTGAGAAGCAGAGGAAGGGTGT